AAATGAATACTTTCCCTATTCTGTGGAATTTCACTCCAAAACCTCTCTCTCCATTCATCTTCCTCCTGCCGCCTCCTTCCCCACCCCCTGCTACCTAGGGAGCCCCGCGAACAGGCATATTGGCAGTAAACTCAGCTCAACAAAATGGCCTTGTAAAAAAGGGAAATATAACATGATCACTTCCTATTTCTTTCTCCTTTCCTCTGTATCAAAGCCTGGGCTGGCTGTCAGGAATGTTCAAAATGAATAAATAAAGCGCAGGAACCCCCCTGCTTCAGAAGAAGTCTCATTCACTCACCATGAAGCTCGGCCAATTCTTTTTCTGACAGTACTCAAGTCAGCAGGCAGAGCGAGAAGATCATTCAAAGCTAATCAGTAAAGTGTAAACCTATTATGAAAGCACATTTACCCCTCGCCGCCTCCTTCCTCCAGAAAACCAATCCCCAAATCTGTGGGAATAACGCATAGCGTAGATAAAAGTCGCTATTGCTTTAGATCCCCTGTTATTAGGTCAGCGATGCCACTGATGAAATGCTCCCCAGAGCGCTGAGCAGCGGCATATAAATCCTCCAAGAAATTCACAGCGTAATTTGTTACAGCTAGAGGGCATAAGACATGTTAGAGCAAAGCCTGTGTGTTAGGCTCTCCCCTGTGATTCTTGAGGCTATCTCTGGTGACAAAAACCTCATCTTGATTTCTTATCCTTCGTATTGATTTCTGTCAGAGAAGACTTTTCTTAGACAAAGATACTACTATATTTCTCTGTATAATATGGGGATCCTTTGCCCCTCTTCTCCCCACCCACCCCTTTTTTTTATTTATTTTAGGGATGACTCCAAGGAAGATCAGTAATTTGGGAACTGTTGGTATGTACAGTGGGTAAAGAGCAGAGATGATGATGATGACAGTTTTTGCATATGTAGTGCAAAAACCTAAATGTGAAATTGGAGAAAAAAAATGTTTCTGGGCTGGAATAGTACAGGAAATTGACAGTTAAATCCCCAGCTATGCAATTGTTGTATTTTAATACAAAACTTTGTTATTAATGTAATGGCTGGAATGGGTGTGAGTCAGGCGATTAAAATCCAGACTCGGATGTATATAAGCATAGCAACTGTTAATTTTGGAACATTTGTACTCCTGCTCTATCAATCTTATAGCTATCTTGAAAAAATGGAGGCCTGTAGGTATACTGCATGATGCTTTTGAAAAAAGCTTTTTTAAAAAAAAAAACAAACTATCTTTTCTAGTATGGTGCACGGGGGCAAGGCCAAATAAAAATCTAGAAAGCTTTATGCGAATAACTTGCAAGCCGAAGAACAGCAGCTCCACAGAAGTCAATACAGCTGAGCAGAACGATGGATGGGTAAGGCTGCGAAATGCAGAAGGTTAAATAAAAAATATTTTGTCTTCTCTGCAGTGGGATTGCTAGAATCAACTGCAATGTTTTCATTTAATCTGTTCCTTTGGGTTTTGCTTTATTTTGCCTTTTTTTAGAACCTGTCTTTGTAAGAAGCTGGTTTGGGTCTTGAAGTGACTGAAGCTATGCCTGTTCCCTTGCGCAAAGAAAGTGGTGAATATTTATAGCAGATTGTGCGAGTGGAGAAATTTAATATGGGCTCATTGCTTTTGTAATCTAATAGCAGCTGTGCTGAAAGACAATACCTGCTAATTGTATTTCCTATCAGATCTTTTTCCAACTGAAGGATAAAATGGGCCAGTTTGGGGTTTTTTTTTTAGTACGTACAGCAAAAATTATTCAAAAGAATCTTTGTTCCCCTTTAGCTATCTGTTTATTTAATAGACTATGGAAAATGGTAAACTCTCTGTCAAAGAGCCTAGTTAAAGAATAATTTATAAGCTGCATTTAGCTGTTGATTTTTGTAGCCTGGCTTAGTGGAGAGCCAAAATATATCCTGGCAGGTAATAATTAATGTAAACCTTGACACTTCAGATCTGGCCAC